GATCGATGTTTCTCTCTCATCGATGTTTCTAACTCTCTGTCTCTCTCCCTTCCTCTCTGTAAAAAAATCAATAAAATATATTTTTAAAAAAAAAGAGTATTCTTGCTTTACTTGAATTCCACTTTTACTAAAGCAAGATTTGGATTGTACTTTAGTTTTCATGTAGTGCTTCGTATGTGGAAGACACTATACTGGCTGGTCATGCTAACTACATTTAAACCATTTGACACTTCAAATATCTCAGTGGAAATTAGTTTATCAGTTTAGCATGAGTAGCTACATACCCTATTGAATGGGTATTTAAAGTTTTGTCTGCCCCAAAAGCACTCTCCATCTTCTGTGGAAATGTCTACCAATGATGAACTTCACTATCCTAGCCAAGGAAGCAGGGACATGACCTAGCCTGGGCCCTTCATTATATTTACCACTTCCTGGCTATAGTGACTGATCCAAAGGATGGGCACATGACCCAAGCTGGGCCAGTCCTCTAGATTTTAAACACTGAAGCTTGGAGAAAAGTGCTTTTATTCCTCAATGTGTAGGCCCCGGAGAAGTCGATGGCCAAACGCCATGCTAGTGAAAGAGCCCAAGGGAAAGCAGAGACACTGAGAAAGTAGGGACAAGCACTGATGAGAGGCAGTGGCAGCTCTGATGCACTTTAATACTGTCTAGTCAGGACCCTAAGATTAGCTGCACCTCTAACTTTCTGGATTCAGTTACTTCATGTCTTTTTGCTTAAGCTAGACTGATTTTGCAACAAAAAGAGAAGAAACATCTAATGTTATGAAATAAGGAATTAACTGGCTTTCAGTAGGTAGTATCTGTTATCATTATCTACTAGACTTTAAACATTACTTCTGTCCCACACAGGAACAAGAAAGCTATATTTCCAGTAAGATTTTATAATTTTTGCAGGGATAACACATATTATATACACAATAAAAGAGTAAATTAAAATCTGTAAACATTTTAAACTGGAAATTTTAGGATTAGAGCAGGGAAGAATTGAGGTCCTCACTGTCTTGTGCTACTCTGTTACCAAGGACTTATTCTCAGCAAACTGCAATATCTTCACCTGAAGATTGGGGATGCTCTACATTATTCCTAAATTTGCTTCCAGTGCTGAAATGACTGAGTACTTATGAAGATATAAAAACATACTCCTCATTTACACTATTCCATATTAAACAAAGAAAAAAGTTAAATTCATTTTTAAACATAAATTCAACTTTTTTTTTCCTATTTGAGTCTACTCTGGCCCTGGCCAGGTAGCTTAGTTGGTTAGCGTGTCCTCCCCATACCCCAAGGTTGTGGGTTCGATCCCTGATCAGGGCACATATAATAAACCAACCAGTGAATGCATAAGTAGATGGAACCACAAATCCATGTTCCTCTCTCTCTCTCTTTCCTTTCTCTCTCTCTCCACTCAATAAAAATGTAAAAAAGAATCTATTCTGAAAACATATGCAAATCTCAAGGATCACTACCACAAGCAAAAGATCCCTCCAAACAAAAAAATGTGAACCCCAAATGAAGATATTCAAGAGAATGAATATTTGGTATAAACTGAATGGTCTTTTAAAAACAGAGCGTTTTCCAATTACTTTTAAGATATTTAAAACTAGAAATGTTAGATTTCTTTCTTTCTTGATCGTGCTAACGCATGCCTTGTCTGTTACTAATTTAGAGTTCAGAAAATTCTAATTTAATATTCTGCAATACACTTGAAGTAAGGAGTAGATGGGGTAAAAAAAAAAAAAAAAAAAACACGAAAAAAAAAAAAAACCAGCAACACAAAACTCAATACAAAAGTTAGACGGGGGGAAAAGTAAAGTGGGTTATAAAAAGAACTCCAAAGTAGAAATCAGGAAGCCAAGCTATATAAGAATTTTATTACTAACTTCCCTCAAAAGGGCAAGGTTTCTGATTTAAGTTTTCAGACTCAAATAAGCCAGCTTTGTAGCTTTGCCTCAAAACAAACAAACAACAAAAACAACTACTTTGGGAAACTTCTGCAAAGGAGCATTTTGAACGTCAGCCCCCGTATCGAGTCCGCATGTGGGGCAGGGGCATGTGTCCCACAGGTGAAGTCTGTGACGCCAAAGCTATCCCTCAGATGGAGAGTAAAAGCAACGTTTCCCTCGCATTGCTTTTCCTCGACGCTGACTTGGGGTGGGGAGACGGCTTCTGCCCGTCTCGTTAAATTAATGACCCCGGACCCAGCCCGTCGGCCGGCGCCTGCGGAGGGCAGGACCTGAGCCGGGGAAAGTGCCACCGCCCCCGAGCGGGAGGCTCCTGCCTGAGACCCCGGGACGTCAAGAGGCAACCGGGCTCCGGCAGCCTCGGAGGCTCCCCACGGCTGGGGCCTGGGATTCCCCTC